AGGCTTCAAATTTATGTAAAGCAATTTTTTTGCAAATATTTAAGCGTTTAGAAGAGATAAATGAAAAAAAATGAGACAAACTGTTTATGCTATACACCACTTGCGATAGAACGTTATTGGCAATCGATTGGATTGGACAATTTTTACGACTAGAGTAGAGACAAGACGCCACGAAATACCCTACAACATTGCGCTTAATATATCTGTTTTTTTATTTTCTTGACAAACTACCCAAAATTTTACTTTATTTCCATATAAAATTCAAATTTTGCAAAGTATATGATAGCGTTGATGTTTTTTACATCAATGTAATCGCAAGTTTTTTCCCATACAACGCATTATATGCGGAGTAAATGTGGTCCAAACCAAGCGATTTTCAATAGACTTTACCATGGGGTCGAAACACAGTCAGTGTACCATATTTGGTCAAAATGTCGAAATATGCGAAAAACCGGCTAAACACAAAAAGCATGCGCAGACATCAAACTGCCCGATAGCCTTAAAAAAATACCAAAAACTATTCCGTATCGATCAGTGTTCACATACTATTGCCAGAAAAGGCACAAGCTGCAATAAACAATAAAACATATACAATAGCGAAGGTCTTCCCCTTCTCCAACACGCTTTCTGAATGCCACGTGGTCGACTTTTTCGACAAGTTTTGTTGTTTATTTAGATTTTTGGGTTTATTCAAAATTGAACGGTTGGATATCAACAAAATATATTATGTCGTTGACTATCATAACATATTCCATAAGTCTATAAGCCTTTTCTTCTTCAAGGGCCGCACAGTCTTAACCACTTGAGCAAGTTAGACCGAGGAGAATCGGAATTTAATCGAGGAAAAGTTAAATAAGCCTATGTTTCTTCCCGAGAGAAAAATCATATCAATAAGTAAATGTTCTGTTGCGCTTAACTAAGTGCAACCTTACGTTTATTAATAAATTGCGTACATATTTCAAGGACAAGTACGCCGGTTTAATGAATAGAATCTTTTTTTACAATTGCAAAAAACAGCTCATGTTTTGTTAAGGTTTTTCTAATATTATAATTTCAATGTTTTTACGTTCATTATAATTGAAATTCAATTTTTATTTTTACAACTTTTGTGTAATATAATAATAATCGAAATGTTATATAAAAACAAAATTTTATATAAATCAATTAATTAATGTAGAAAAAAACAACAAACGAAAAGCTTTTACTTGTGATGGCCTTTTAGCGTTAGAAAGTTTAATAGATTTACACACAAGAGGACAGTTATGTTCAGTTTGTGACGCGTACAACGTTTCGATTAGTTTTCGTGATTTTACTGCCTTTCGACCGAAAATCTACATAGAGAGAGAGAGAGAGAGGCATTTTGAAAAATATTTCTTTGCAGATTTCTTTACTATGCCATCAGCTACGAGGGAAGTCCGTGCTTCACTTTTTTTCAACATATCCGTGAGCTTGCTTAGACTTTAGTAGAGGCAGCGAAACCTGTCTTACTTAGTTCGTATTAGATTTAGGACTAAAGTTTAATCATATGCTTTTCTTTCCGACACGAGCTAAAACGAGTGAATAACTGTTTAACTGAATTAGTGAGAGGTACAACAATTTTTTGGAAGGAGAACTACAAAGAAACATCTGCTGTCAACATAGCGTATAAATGAATATTTTCTTTTCCAGAGCCAATATCACTAGTGACGTAACTTTTTGAAAAGGTCTAAAAATTATTCAATGCGAGAAGCATAGCGTAATCATTTTCAATCGATTATGGCATATTAGAACGATAAAAGAGGAAATGGACAGATTTCAATATTTACACATCTCAATAAATTGAATAGAATAGTAAAGTTTCCATCCTACGTCTATAAATTGGATTTTGTGCACGCTAGCGCCTAATGCATTTGGAAAGGATTATCAATGAGTAGCTTGCTTAAGAGAACATTAAAAATTTAGGTCAGTAAAAAGTCTGTATTGTATAGTCACAAAATTGAATAAAAGTACAGATTAGGCAAAAATATTTAAATAACGATAAATTTCGGGAAGACGTCAACCAGTCTCGTTATCAAAGAAGATATGCCAAATCATGATGTGCCGTGTGAAACAATAAAATGTATTCAAAAATACAATATCAAATATTTAATGACTAAGAGAGGAAAAATCATTAATTATCATAGTCATTGAAACGAACGGATGCAAACCGCAGATGCACTTGCGATAAATCCATCTTTTATAACACGAATCGATTTTAATATTTTCGTTTGTTTGTTTGTATTCAAACTGCCTATCCCAATTCGATTAAGAGATTATTTGATAAAATATGTTACAATGGTTGACATATTTTACTCCAGAAATAAAGTTCATAGACAATGTTTTGAATCGAACTAATCTCAGTTAAGTGTTAGATAAAGTTTTATTTTAAAAAATCGCTTTACATGAAAAAAAATTGCAATTTTTAATATTCTTCGGTAAAAATCAAAGGAAATTATTCTTTTGACTACACTCTTCTACTACTACTCTTCTACTACATGAGTATAGAAAATTTCGACTGCATTAGATCGTACCCGTATAGACTACCATATAAACATTATTGTTACAATAACAATTAAAACTTTTTTATATGGCAGAAAAGTCTGCTTTTGACTATTTCACGGCGAAAATTTTTCCAAAAAAGTAGCAAATGTGTAGCGCACGCATTGATCTACTTTTCGTATTCTTCCCCATACAAGGATTTTTATAGAAAGCAAACTTATATATGGCAGTAAATCATATTTAAGTATTAAATTGATGAAGAATAATGAACTAATTCTGTGACAGACCGAATGGCTTAACTCACTTTTAACTACATAGGTTCACGCTTTCGACCTGCTCTCATATATAGATTCTCATTAAAGATAAGCTTTAACAGGGAACACGCCATAATGCTTGGTATTTCGCGACGGAAATAGGTAAAGAATTGCTATAGGTAAAGTGTTGCAGTGTACTTAATAGTCGGTTTTATGCGACGAAAATGTTTTAACTTACTACCAATTTTGACAGCTCACTTCAATTTTTTGTGCTGATCCTATTCCTGCAATAATTCTCATATCTTTATAATTGTTTCTATTTTCGTATATAGTTTAAATTATAATTTGAAAAAGGAGTATATTTTTCGCATTTTTTCATCAATCTCTATGTAAAACTTTGTGTTTATATTCTTAAGACTAAGAAGAATGCACTCTTTAGGTGACTGTACATATTTTGACAGGCATTACTTTCAAACAAAAATATGATGAAAATGATATGATTCGCAAAGTATATATATATTGTTACATTTTCCTTTTCATTATATTATATATACGCATCTATTTTGGTGTATGTAGTGAAATCAAATTTAATGAACGGTGTTCATTTAATGCTTTGTTAAGCAATGGAAACGTAAAATAATAATGTATAAGTAAAATTGAAAACAAAAATGTATATTATTATTAATATTATTATTATTATTATTATTAATTTTGCAAGAGAATAAATTCTAAGACTAAAGTCTTAACGCACTAGCATCTAAGGCTTTCCGACTTTATTCAAAACTCTACTGCACTTGAGATTTGAACCCCACGACCATTGAGTTGCTAGTCGAAACTCTTGCCTACTCGGCCATTCAAGCGGTAAAAAAAAAAAAAAAGAATGTATAATAAGCATGGTAGCTTCGAAACAATTCCTAAATACGCACTTTTTCAAGAAGCATTCTATAATATGTGAAAAGGTTGGAGCGCACTGTTACTTATTAGTGCATCGGCTAGATAGCGCAGAAAAACTATCGGTTTAATCTTGCCCACCACACACTTATTCAATCTACACTTTGAACTCTATTATAGTATGAAGCTTAGTAATAGCGTTTTCGTATTTCTATACTTATTTATTATACATTTTTCAAGTTTTTTTTTTTTTTTTCAGATGTAGATTTCTTTCTGGGCGGACGCAAACACAGAATCGTTAAGTTTAATTATTTTCTTATATGGCCTTATGGCGTCTCTCATCGCTTCCAAGTAGCATGATGAAGGTATTTTTCAATTAAATTTCCTTTTATTTACTTTTCCAACTAAATTTTAATTAAATTGCATATTTTACGTATACATTTTAATATAATTGTAAAAAATATGTTCATTAACTATGCCTTATATACTACATATTAGCCTACATATTATTTACCATAACGGATTCTGGGAAACGTAATTTATTAAATGACTGCAAAAAGTACTAAGCAAAAGATTTGATTTAATTATATCTAACTAAGCGCTTCCACCGTACAATTTAAGCAATATTCATCTTAATTATGCACAACTATATGCATACACAAAAAAAAAAAAGAAAAAAGAAACGCAGCACACACACACATACAGAATACCGTTAGTACTTTCTTTAACTTATGTTAACTTATGCCTATAATTTGTCCCGCAATACTTTTTAGTAAACTTAAGCGACAATAAATCTATTGTACTATACATAAATCTTTTGAAATACACATACACAAATACAAGTCAGCAACATAAAATTTCAATTCTAAGCTTATAATGCTCATATAAAGAGTATGCGAAACGCTCACATACACAACCGCCGAACACCGAATTATATTTGTTATAATCCAGTTCCGCCAAAGAATGACAACCGTAACGTATGAAATCACTTAAAAGACTGAAACGAAGAACATAAAACATGAAAATTATATATACATCTACTTACGATGCAATGAAAACAAACGGCGCCAAATTGTTCGATTTGTATGCCCGAGCTGATTGAAAAGGAATAGCAACAAGTTATGGTCGCGAGGATTTTTTTACTTTTACTTTATTTGCTTTTATTTTATTTATTTATTTATTTTGTTTTTGTTTTTGGTTTCGTTTTTTTTGTTTTTGTTTTCTTTTTTCGTTAAGGATTGCTTGTAATCGTTTCACAAGTGCCTAAACAATGCTTATAAACAGCAGAATTGTTTCTGAAAGCTATGTTCGATACACATTCTTGTTTTAAAAACTTACCGTTAAAGCTATGCCGACAGTAGCCGAAAATGAACCTAAACGAAATTCACCTGTATTGTATTTAACTAAGAATGATGTTTTGCCAACACCAGAATCGCCCAACAGTATTGTCTAAAAGAAAAATTAAAATAATACAATATATTAAGCAAACAAGAAAATCTACATTCATTTTCGAATGAATTTTCGAAAGTCATCAATCAGCACAAACTAATTCTCGGAAAAACGTAAAAAAGTCTTCCCTTCATCCTTCGGGCCTAAATGAACTAATTTAGATCATTTCTTGAACTATATTTGCCAGACATCAAATTTATCAAAGGTTTTGATTCTCAATGACCTCATATTTCACTTTTCCTTGTTTTTCTTTCTTTTTGATTACTTTCTGTTCATTCGGGAACACATTTTTATTGGATTTTAGAGTTTATCTGTTAAATTGAAGAAAAAAAACATGATAACCAAATTTTAATTTTCTAGAGATTTCTTATGCGTTGTCACCTCAAAAAAACTTCACAATATAAAGTGGTAAGGAAGTAAGGATTTCAGCAATATTTTCAAATTTAGAAAATATTGTACCCAAGCCCATACAAGATCGCAGAAACGTTAAGTCCGCTATCTTAAATTTACAGCCGCCATAGTGGTCTTTTTAGGCACGAGCAGTCAAAGACTACGAAAGTTAATTCCTAAAGTGCTAGCGTCTGCCTACAGTCATTATGCTAGTGTATAAATAAGTTGTGATCAATGTATTTATGGCAAAACGTACTTACTTTCAAAAGAACAGTAAAAATGTTCCTTCATTGGCCGGATACTTTTAATAAAAATGGAATTTCATGTGTGACACGATAACTGATTAGTTGGATTTTTGGGGTATAGTTATAAGTATGAACGCGTCGGTGAGACAGCCAGACCAAGAGACTTCACTTGAAAAAGTCGTCAACTAGAAATCGAAACGCCTAGTGAATATAGTGGGAATTCTAGTTCAATGGTACTAATATTTCCTGTTTCGCTTCGAAAAACCCCGTAGGGATTTGCTTATATATCTTTCAGTCATTATAATCGGTCATTTGAAACGACTTGTCAAAATTTGTTCTGGCCTCTATAACATAAGCATAACAAAATGCTTGATATTAAGAAGTTACTGCGATTTTAAGACAGATATTATTGCTCGTGACCTGCATATACTGTTTATATCCTATTTGCAGAAACTTGACACTATTGCGATCAATTTCAAAGTGTTTTTTCTTGACAAAAAATTGAAATTGAAATGCGATTTAACAAGAATAACATATATGACATCGAATACGTTTTACGCAAAAGCCGAGGTGAAGAGAAAATTCTGGGGTTAATTATTTGTTACGAATAAGACGCGGACCGATGCATTATGTGAGAATCGTTTTAGGGATGTAAGCTTTTACTGAAGGTCACGCTTTCGGCGAGCGCTGTGATCATAGTTATTATACGAAATATGAAAGTTTGTAAGTAAGTGCAACAAATCTTCATCTGTGAATGAAAATCAGAAACATTTCATCATTGTTTTATAATTTTTTTAATCCACAACTTTTGAAAGACAACCAAGTACACGGACATAATTAACCCAATTTGAAAGTGAGAGAAAATATATGTATATCTCTGCTGTGAGTGTAGGGACGTTATAAACCATACAGTAACGTTGATTTAATCGGAGTGTTGAGCAAGCACTATACCTAACGCAAGAGAGTAGTTTGTATATTCGACTTGGATCGTATTCTTTTTTAACCCAAGCAATTGATTGCGTTGTTGTATTGACACAAGGAATAGTTTCAATAAATTTTTATAAATATTTCATATATTTATTTATTGCATATGAATATAAATAAATAATAAATAAGTTAAATATTGGATTGCCTAATAGAACATATTCATCCACGTTACAATATACAAATATACGATATCTTGATATACGTATATATATGTACGGGTAAGAACCCAGTGCTAAATCTGCCTTAATTGAAGAAGGCTTTTGACAATTTTTAGTGAACATTTTCATCTATTTTCATAGATTTTCGTCCTTCGCAGAGATTTTCATAAGAATAGCTTAGGATTAACTTCAACGTTTCATTCAGATAAAAATTTAAGAAAACAGCAAACAGTTATCGGCTTTTTATTAATCTTGAATGAACCAATGCAGAAGTTTAATTATTATCAGGATTTCACCTATCGAAAGCGGAAAAGAGGACGGAGTAAATAAACGGTAAGTTGAGATCAATTTATTCTATTAGAAGAAAGTTTTAACATCATAATCGTTCTTTCAACGACCAAACGAACAACGATGCATGTCTAAATCGATTCAACTTTTGTTTCGTCTGATCAAGACGTGATATGGGTTCACTTATAAATTGATAATCTCTATACGATACGAATATTTGTTAAGCTTAACAATAGACCCGTCGTGAGTTTAAATATGAATAATTTTATTTCATCCATTAATCTTTTCTTACCTTATGATTGACGGTATCATCGAATGGTTGTAAATGCATTGGTGCTGGCTGCATGCCCACCTCGTCGTAATGATATGAACGCCAGCCGTCATCGTAGTCATCTACTGTGTAAACAGCATCTTCCAAGGCATATAATTGTAAAGCTTCTCGTGGTGGTCTATAACCCGGGTAACCGCTCGGTGAATGTGAGCGACAATATTCTGTTGACGCTACGGCGCCGTCACCATAATAAACTGTACCACGTGTTTGACCCGAATCATTATTCGTATGAAAGTTGTATTTTCGGGACTCTTCCAAACGTTTCTGTGTAGTTTCAGCATCTTCGAAGACGTCATCACTCATACTACTCGCATCATCCGGTAATTGAGACATTTTATGTTAAGCGGTTGTTGGTAGCTTTTAAGGATATGCTTGGTTTAATCAATTTAAGTAAAAAGAAATTCGTTACAAACAAAACTTGTCAGGGTGGGATTTGTTTTCAAATTGTTTTCGTTAATAGTTCTTTTTATTTTTCATTTATTAATTTAACGACTACAAGTTGATTAATTAAAACTTTTCGTTACTTTGGGAATCCATTGACAATGATTTTTTATATTTTTAATATAGTTGGTCCTTATTATATTATTATAAACTTGATGCGTTTGCTTTTCAATTTTAAAACGCTGTAAAGTGCATGCTGTTAACTCTATTTACTTGATTTAATCTTAGCTTTTGGTTTTAAGTTTTGAAAAAGGCGCTTTTAAAATAATCATAAATAGTTGCTAGAAATAATATTTGCAAAAAATTGAAATAATTTATGTTAAATCAAATGTATAGGACGTTCACCTACCTTCATCCTACCATAGAAGTCACAAGGGAAAAAATTGATTCATCATAGATGTGTGTGAGGAACGTGTCTTGTATAAATTAACACCTGCGGACAAGTTCGACAGTGGAAGAATGATCATTTGAGAGAAAATATTTGCAAATAAAATAGATTGCCCCGTTAAACGTTACAAGCAAAAAGTAGAAAATAAAAAAGAAAAAAAATTTTGTTTCTCTTTCTAACCGAAAATTATCAAATGCTATTTTTCTGTATTTGAAAAGATGATCCTAAGAGATCGAAAAACAAGTTCCTTAAAACTCATGCAATTTTCCTCGGTTGACCACCAACAGAAAAAAAAAATTTTTTCATACAAGTTGATGGTCCTTATTTAATGTGACCACACAATTAGATATAATGCATTACCACAAAAAGCATCATTTTCAAAATTTCCTTTCAACCGAATCAAAATTTTAATTTACTTCATTCGACCAATTGGATTAGAGTTAAGCTCAACAGTGAAACTCAACCTGCTTATGACAGTGGAATAAATTTTAAGAAGGTCTCCGCTGTTTCGCTACGGTAATGTGTGCATGCATTTATACTATTTATGTTATTTGCATTATATACGCTGTACGAATTAACTTAATTTGGAAGTGTATTTTTGTAAAATTTGGCAGCACTCCATTAACGATCGAACGAACATAAAAAATATATTCATTTTGCTCCTTTCATTTATGTACGATTTTTGATAATAATAAGCGAACGCTTGGGGCAACTTTGACGACTTTATAACTTAATCTGTGAAGAGTGGGAAGAAACGATTTTATATATAATTTTTTTCTAGGCATAGTTTCAATACATGAAGGAATATAATCTCTGCCTCTTGTCGAATTATAATTTTAATTGCTAAATTATTTATGCACTTAGCATATATATTCTTTACTTGCTCGACTTTTACACCCTTCACCACTCCTATATGATATTTTTGCGAATGTAATAAGTAATACCCATACGCATTTAAGATCAATGAGCTTTTTACTGCTCCATGATCAATCCAGAATCACTTTCTCCATCGGAATCTGAAGCGATTTACACCTGCACTTCACAAACTTTGAGTTATCTTGACGAAATTTAATGCATTGGTGTGATTTTACGCCAACGACGAAACCTATTAAAAATAGATTGAAACCAACGATATTTACGATCACACAACGCCTTATCTTGGAAAAGACGTCATAAAAAATTTGCTATTTCAAAGTGATTGGCAATGCTAAATTAATGTGAAAAATTTTCGTCGTGTAAATCAACTTTTTTGAACTACCTTTTGTTATGGTTTGATATATTAATTTACTGCGCTAGGGTTAAAATACGTAGGCCTGTTCTTTAAATCCCATCGCATATTCGTATTTCATGAAAAGTATTCCTTTTCGGGTAAATAAGATATAAGTTCTGATTTTTTTATCAGAAGAATAAGTGAAGAAAGCTTGTGGGCGTTGAGTGTAGAGTGTTGAATAGTCGGCCTTGCACGACTCCAATGAACAACAACAACTGTACAATACATTTCCTTGTTTTAATTAATTAAATTAAAATTTCAATTGTTTTTTCAAATTTTTTTTTAAAGTCAGCACTCACCGTACATTTCTCAATATTCTCTTAAATTTTGTCTATCTCTCTCTCTCTCTCTCTCTCCAAACATTTCTCTTATCTATGAAATCTTAACAAATCTGTGATTTTCTTTAATGCAACTCTCTTTATTAATCCATGAGAATGATGCAATAAATTGACGTATCACCATGATATTGGAGTGGTTGCTATTGTTATTTATTAATTATGTAGACTTTGGTTTAGTTGGCAGTTATATATGCTTGATTGCTGAATTGTTGTTATAAATTTCGTTAAATTTTTGGTAAATTGGGATATCATGTAGCATACGAACGTCGTCGACTTTCATTTTTTGTCTTGTGATTTACGAATGAAATTAAATGAAATTAATGTAGTTTATTTACGAGTCAACTAATTATTGCTAATAATTTGTATATTTGGCTGCATTCGACATTTTGTACGCACATATATGTATTACTAATGCTTACATCTACAATAACTGCTTAGTCAATAAATTCCCTAAATAACGTTATTCGTTCGCATGGAATGTGTGTTTTTTATTTTTTTTTTCCATTTATTACTACGAGATAAGAATATTTTTTCCTAC